CCAACAGTACCCTCTTGGGGGCACCGCTGGGTCACCAGGCCATCGACACTGTCCTCAGGGACAAATTGAATGACCTGATGAGAATGGAGGAGAGAAGCGATCTTGATGCCCATGATGCTCTGTATCTCCTCACAAGATGTCTTGCTATGCCAAGACTCGCTTACTTCTTAAGGTGTGCACCCTCTTTTGACAACCCAACACTCGATGAATATGACGTACACCTGAGATCAACTTTTAAGAAGGCACTGAACCTGTCACTAGAGGATGAGCAATGGGATCAGGCAACCCTCCCAGTGCGACTGGGAGGTATAGGGGTGCGTAAAGCAACGCATGTTGCTTTACCTGCTTTTCTGTCTTCGTGTTTGGCTTCCGGTGCATTAAAGAAGATAGTACCCGAACGCTTGAGAGACGTGGTAGGAGCTCAAGACCCCCGGTTTACTGAAGCAGCGATTCGGTGGGACACCTTTACAGACTCCTCCCGTAGACCAGCTCCTCTCAAACGCACAAACAGTCCATGGGACAAAAACCCATCATTGGGAAAAAAACGTCAACACAATGCTCCCCCAATGCTTCAGGAAAGGACAAAGCTCGTCTCCTGGCAGTGAAGGCACCACACTCAGGAGATTTCCCGTTAGCTGTTCCAATTTCCCCCCTGGGCAAAACCCTCTCGACCCCCAGGGCATTCGGATTGGTGTTGCTCTTCGCCTAGCCGCCCCATCCTCACAGAACATAGGATTATTTTGCGGCAGGGCGACAGCTGATCAATTCGGACTTCATGGTCTTGTGTGTCACACAGCAGAAGGGAAATATGCCAGACATGAGGAGGTCAATGACATCATAAAGAGAAGCCTCGCCACAGCCCGTTGGCCCAGTTCAACGGGAACCCCAAGTACAGAGGTCTGATGGAAGTCAAAAGCGTCCTGATGGAGCCACTATGCTACCTGGAAGGATGGAAAGCAGATTGCCTGGGACTACACCTGTGCTGCCACATTGGCAGACACCTACTTGCCATACTCCGTAGTGGGAAAGGGGGGGGAGTGCCAGCCACAGGGAGACCCAGAAGATCCGAAAATATGAAACCTTCCCCCCTTTCTATAACTTCATTCCAATAGGGTCGGAGACCCTTGGAGCATGGGGCAAGTGTGCTCTAAAGTTCCTCAAAGAGCTGGGTGAAAAGCTCATCATTGAAACCAAGGACCACAGGGCGACCAGCAATCTCTTTCAGACTCAGTGTTGCGATCCAGAGAGGAAATGCCTGCAGCATTCTGGGCACACGGCCCACTGCAGGGGAGCTGGACGAAGTATTCGAGATGTAGCTCTGAGTTACCTATGTTGTTTTGCTTTCTGTTGTATTTTTGTGAATGTTTGGCCAATGTTCCTCATCATTGAAACCAAGGACCACAGGGCGACCAGCAATCTCTTTCAGAGACTCAGTGTTGCGATCCAGAGAGGAAATGCCTGCAGCATTCTGGGCACACGGCCCACTGCAGGGGAGCTGGACGAAGTATTCGAGATGTAGCTCTGAGTTACCTAGGGGGTGGTAGGAGAAAATTCTCAAACAGCTTCAGGGAAAACCTTGAGTTTTCCCTGAAGCAAGTTTATTCTTTTCTCTGAGGATGAGGGTCCCCATGACAGTTCTAGAGGTGGTACCTTCCTATATATATATTTTATATATATATATATATATTTATATATATAATATTTTATATATATATATATATTATTGCCTTCAAGGACGGAGGCGATTACAATCTTTAGCTGTCAGTTGGTAGTTTCAGCACAATAATACGGAAATAACTTCAGTTTAACTTCATTGAGTTGAGACCGAGGGAGACTGACAAGTCAGATCATGCCATGCAGGTAGGACCACATATCTATATGTCCAATAAAATCAGCCGACACTACCGTCCAGCTCCGGTTGGGTTACCAGTAGCTCTGTTGGGTTACCAGTAGCTCTGTTGGGTTACCAGTAGCTCTGTTGGGTTACCAGTAGCTCTGTTGGGTTACCAGTAGCTCTGTTGGGTTACCAGTAGCTCGGTTGGGTTACCAGTAGCTCGGTTGGGTTACCAGTAGCTCTGGAAAGTCGCATCGCCACCTAGCTGGTGTAGACAAAACTGAAGGTAATAAATATCTGCCAGAAGGACTATTGTCACACTGGGTCATGTGCTAGAATGGGACAACTCGCTCACAATTGTTCAAGAAGTGTCAGAGTATTTTATCCACCGTGGCCGGATCAGCCGGGCTGTGGTTCGTACGTTGGACTACATGCGGCTAGCAGTGACAGCCTGGTTGATCAGGCCCTGATCCACCGGGAGGCCTGGTTGTGCACCGGGCCGCGGAATACCCTCCAGGTAGATTCCAGGTGGCATATAACCAGTCATTCTAGAAAAAATACCGTGACTCTCTGTTGCAAATAACTTGTAATCACTTGTTTAATCATACTTTGCTAAAATATATGACAATGTAAATATCTCAAAACTACATATAAGCTACACTAATTTTTTTTTGTGATCGAATTCAAGTCAACATAAATAACTCATTAAAATTATAACCAGATGTAAACATGTATAGTTCATTTATCAATAACTTTCTTGGCTATCAAAACTTTGGGGCCTCGTCCCTAGACCCATTATGTGCTTCAGTAATATTTTGACCCTCCCACAGGATGGATATGGAATGCATAAAGCTGTTAAACCAATCTTTATCGTTCCTCAGGCACTCTCATCATCCTCCTGGAATGTTGCTGAGGAAGTTGTAATGGAACACCGAGTAGCCATTAGATAGCCTATGTGAAGGAATTGTAGTATATAATTATATTTTTGTAGAAGTAACTATGCTCAGTGGGGTCTGATAACTCACTGGGACTGTGTTCTTTGCGTCACCGCTCACAGGATGAGCATAGGCTACACAATAAACTAGCCGCTCAGATGACCATATTTTTTTAGTTGTCCACTTACCTTTGAATGTATATGTTCAATACAGTAACCAATGTGATATGACATGGCAGCTTTTTAAAGATACAGCACCAGAAAGTTTGAAAATATTTTTCATTTGCTCACTTGCTAGCGTCTACGACTCTACTAGATGGCTGAATGGGGAGGGGGGGGGGGTTACCGCTTAGTTATAATAATAATACCTACCTACTTACCTCCAGGTAGGTAGGTACATGGCTGTGTTGTGTACAATAAACTTGCAAGACTCAGCAGCTAGGTTTATAAATTCACTTTAGAACTGCCGAATAGACTTAAGCGAAATAAAACAAATGGATAAGGGTTGGCCGAGAACAGAGCCTGCCTAGCATGAACTATTAGGCCTACTGTAGCGCTCCTGTATTCTTTTAAGACTAATAAATTCTTAATTATAAGTCCCGGAGGGTTAACCCACAGATATCCTCATAAAATTAAGCAGTGTAACTAGTCTCCCTTGATCCTTTACTACGTAGTGACGCACAGCGGATGGGGACAGCTAGTCCCAGAAGACGAGGAGGTACTTGTACCTCCTCCTATGACAGACATTGGTCTGAGCCACTCCCTCGAGAGGGAGCCAAGGCCGGGACACCACTTGGGAAAGGCCCGGGCCGGGCGATTATACTGGCGAATCTAGAACAGAACAGAACCACAGTGGTTTACTATTTACATATTTACTCTTAGGTGAGCAAGGAGAATTTTTAAGGAAAGTTGCTCGTGCGTCTCAACCTTGCTCGTATGTCTCGACCTCGCCCAGAAATCGACCCCGTGTCCATTTGGTTATAAAATGAACGATACATTGCAAAACAGGTGAGGGGATGCGAGAATGCTTTTAATAGTAGGATACAACTCTTAGTGCCTTCATTGTTTTAATTGCTGCAATTTTTTGTTAAAAGGGTTCAAAGGATACATAACGCTTGCTATAACTGATGTGGAATGGGTCAATACAGTGTTCGATCTGACATTTCACAGTTGCGGCTCAGACCGGGCTTAGCCGGACCTAACTGGTCACTGGAGAAAGATACTGCGTTGTATGGCGGAAAGTCGATAGTCAGCGTGAACTTTAGCGGACCCTAAAGTGGGCTGACTTCAGTGGATGTGCTCTTCAAGGTGGGTACCTTGAAGAGCTCATCTACTGAGCCCTTCACCTTGATGCAGGTGAAGGGCTCCTGATGCAAGGAACAGTCTATTCTGAGAAGCTGTTTTGACTCCTGTTTAGCCCCACAACACGATCACTTTAACGTGATGGTAAGGTTTGAGTGGTTTGTGCCTAGTGATAGTTTCCACTCTGGAAGCTGCGTCACTCTTCCCACAGGGCGCTTGCCTGACTGAGAAAGATGTATATTTCCCCTTTCGCTTCAATTTGTGGACTTATGGCCAATGACACTGAATAATTAATCTGGATGGTAGAATGGGACACGTTGACCTCGAATAGTTTTACTTGCATTGTCACTGGATTTCTGTAGTGCGAGAGTAAATTAGTCCCGACAGTAGCCAGTTGATAATGGGAGTGTTAATTTAACTGGCAATAATAGCATTACAGCGCTGAATAAACACGCAGTTCCGCGAAGCGACGCCAAAAATTCTGTTCCTGAAAATGGGGATTTTTTTTTATTTATAAATGTAAGATTCGCTTCGTATATTATGTTAGTTTTATGGTAAGTAACTTGTAGGCTAGTGGGGGAAATTTTGCTTGCAACGCAAAGAGCCTGGATTCAATTCCCGGGCTGATTCAGACAGCAAAATCCCTCTACATGTGCTGCAGGAAAGTAGGTACCTAGGTGTTAATAGCTTGTCGAGTCTCATCCTAGAGAAGTTGCTCCTCTTAGTTTTATTACGCATCTCATAACTATCTACTGAGTAGCAGATAAAGAATAGGGACCTAATGAGTTTAAGGACTAATCCCAGTGTTTGTTTGCTAAGCAAGTTGGATGTATTATACTGTTACTTCGGTTTCTCACAATTCTGTGAAAAGCCGAGGTAAATAAATCAGTGTTAATTGTTTCAAGCTGCCAACTAATTTTTTATCACTAGATGATATTGACTACGATGAGCTGTCCTCCAACCTGGGCAACTATGTGGTGATAGACGTGAGGAACAAAGAGGAGTTGGAGAAGATGGGAAAGATCCCTGGCTCTGTCAATATCCCAAGTAAGTCTTCCTGACTGGCGTGTGGAGGTCAGCGCAAGTGGTGGAGGCTCGATCCGTCTCTCGATAATGTGGAGACGGATCTGTCTGTCCTCGCCTAGCTCTCCTCCTACTTGCTGGATGTATTTTTAAAATTGTTATTCAGCGAGGTGTTGTCAGATTTCAACGTAGTCTAACCAGCTGACTAAAATCTTGTGATATGAAGTTACTGTTATTTCAGTTATAATAACTACTGCTTAGCCCTTCTTTTTGATTATAATAATAATAATATAATAATTACTTTTAGAGACTGTTTATCGGTTTAAGGGCAAAAAAATGATCTTTTTTTTCCCTGCAGTACCACTATTTTTTAGTACAGAAAATTTATAAGAGATTTAAGTCATTTTATCTTCCAGTTTCTGAACTGGACGAAGCCATGGATATGAACGACGACGACTTCCAGGAGAAGTATGGGTCCCCCAAGCCTACAAGTGACCAGACACTGGTGACACAATGTCAGATGGGCGGACGGGCCAGGAGGGCCGCAGACGCACTTGCTGGCAAAGGATACCAGGCAAGGTACGAAATTGGCGCTTAGGAGTTATTGATATACTTCACATGCTGCTTCTCTGTGGCTGTACATAATAAGGTTCCACAGCGCCTCTAAAATGGGAGGCTCTTATTCCAGAAAGGGTAAGGTAGGTTTCAATCAACCCCTTGAGGTTAGACTTTTTGGAGAACTGTAACTGCTGCCATCTTGCTGTAAAAGCTGCCATCCTTATCTCTGTCATTTCAAAGCCTGGCTCACCAGGAAGCCTCCCACAACACTTTTATTTTCCACGCGAATAGTGACAACAGTTGTAAGGAGACACTTGTCCTGAGTTCTTTACTGTTGTTACTGGTTTCTCAAAAGAATTTTCCTTAATGTGACTTGAATTTTGCAGGGCGTACCCTGGCTCCTTCAAGGATTGGACAGCCAAGGGTGGTCAGGTGGACGCTGTCAACCCTTAAGAACAAAAATAGAACTAGAGGGCAGCTGCTGCCTGGTGTTAGACGCCTCTCTAAGTTATTCTTCACACTATACAGCCATTCCAGCACACTGCAGAGTGGAACATGGAGGAAACGGTGAACTGCTGACAAGTTTGAAGACACACACAGGTTTTCGAGCAAGCTTTCTTTGAGACAACGTTTTGGTCTTCGTAGAGCTCTACAGTGAGCTAAACGTTGGTCCCCCACATAAGATCTTGCTTTGCAGCATGTCTTGGTCTTCAGACTGGGAAATAAAAACAGTGTTTTTTGCTCTCACCAAACACTGATAAACAAGAGCATCATAGGCCTGTATCCTCTTAGGCAGAATTTTATTTTTTTTTAGCCAGATTGCAGCAATTTTGGGTTTAAGAATTTGAAAACCCTCTATCAGCCCTCTCATATATACATATCACTGAATTCCTATAGGTTATTGCACGGCGCTTTATGGAATAAAATAATGAAGTTAAATTGAGATTTTTCAGTTGCCCACGTTTGTATTCTGAAAAACTGTTCAAGAATCAGTGTATCTAATCTTATTAAACTGAGCTTAAACTGTATATACACTGACTTATATACAGTGTATATATTGCTTTCTATGTAGAGGGAACGGCGCTGTATAGCCCTTGTGGTTTAGCGCTGCTTTTTAATTATAATATGTAGAGGGATAAAGTATACATAGTATATATGCTTTACTCGACTGCATAATTTCTTCTGGTATTACCCGATTTTGTTCATTTTAGTGCAGTCATTGTAGTTTAAAAAAAAAAATAGCTGGTTGCAGGTTCGTCAGGAAACGAGAAGAGTGTTTCCTGACGTGGGGAGTCTCATATGATGACCCGCCACTGAAGCTTTTGGTCACCTGACAGAGGCCTTCCACTGGATTACTGGTCCACCCCTTTAAATATCATGGTTATTATTAAGCTATTTTTTCCCGTAAGACCGGGAGCTGCATGACCCTTGTCAATTTAGTGCTTTTTATTATAATATAACCGGGAGTGACCCGTGGAACACTCACACTAAGTTAGGAACTACTACAGACCAGCTTGTGGAGTCTCCCCGTATTCTAAAGCCCAGCTCCCTCTGCTTCAATGCGCTCAAAAAAAAAATTCATGTATATGCATGCATGTATACGTGTGTTTATGCATGCGTATAAGTGTTTGTCTGTGAGGATGTACGCTTGTGTACGTGTGCAGTATGCGTGTCTGGATGTATATTGGCATATATACATCAGTGAAAGGCTAGAGGTCAGTAACAATGGGTGGGTTATTCTGTTAAGCAAAACTCAGCAGTGTTGATAGTTTGAAGCCTACCAAAAGAGGCAGTTTTGTAGGCTGGCAGGACGCTGGAGAAACGATCCGACAAAGTTGTGCACACAGATGCATGGCTTGATGACGGTCTACGCAGAGCGAAATGCGACTTGATACTGCTCTACAGAGCGCTAAACGTGGCTTGATAAGGTTCTGCATATCTGGAGGGTGTTCCGGGGGTCAAAGCCCCCGGGGCCTGGTTTATGACCAAGCCTCGCTGTGGATGAGCGCTTGACCAACCAGGCTGTTGCTGCTGGCCGCACACGAACCGCAGTCTGGCTGGTCGAGTACTAAGTGTATGTCCAGCTCCATCTTGAAAACAGCCAGGGGTCTGTTGGTAATTTCCCTTATGTATACTGAGAGTCAGTTGAACATACTTAGGCCTCTTGTAACTGATTGTATTGTCTCTTAGCACACTCGTGGCGCTGTATAGCCCTTGTGGCTTAGCGCTTCTTTTTGATTATAATAATAATAATAGCACACTCGTGGCGCCCCTGCTTTTCACTGGGGGGATGTTTCACCGCCTGCCGAGTTTTTTTGCTTTCACGGGGAGTGATTTCCGTGTGCAGATTTGACTTTTTTTTAGGATTTTCTAGGTGTATATTATCACGCATCTTTCTCGCCTGCGTTTCAAGTAGTACAAGTCAAGGGACTTCAACCGTTCTCAGTAATTTAGATGCTTTATTGTACTTGTACATGTAGTGAAAGTTCTCTGTATATTCTCCAGGTCTTCAATTTCGCATCCCTTGAAAAGTGGCCGTTAGTGTACAGCAATATTCCAGCCTAGAGAGAACAAGCTATTTGAAGAGAATAATCACTGGCTTGGCGTCCCTAGTTCTGAAGGTTCACATTATCCATCCTATCACTTTCCTAGCAGATGTGGTAGACATATTCACTGTTGTGATCTGTGAAAGTGAGATTCTCTTGACATCACTCTCAGGTCCTTCACATTAGTTTTTCACTCTTTTGTGAGGTTGGAATTCGTTTTATACTCCGATCCCGTTTTAATATCCTCGAATTTTCCATAGAAGAGTAATTAAAATTTCTCTTTATTGAACTTCATATTTTTTTTGAGGCCCAACTAAAGACTTGGTTAATGTCCGCTTGGAGATTTGTAGTGTCCTCAATGGATGACACTTGTCATGCAAATTCTGGTATCGTTAGCAAAGGTGGACACAGTACTGTGGCTTACATCTTTGTTAGATATGAGAAATAGGATGGGAGCGAATACTGTGCCTTGTGGAACAAAGCTTTTCACTGTAGTCGCCTCAGACTTTACTTGATTTACTATTACTCTTTGAGTTCTATTTGTTAGGATGTTAGAGATCCATCTACTCCTCCTGTCATTCCTTTATCACGCACTTTGTGTGCTATTAGACAATTGCACTTGTCGAAGGTTTTTGCAAAGTCTGTGTATAGTACATCCGTATTTTATGTCCTATGCATCAAAAACCATGTCATTGTGGTCCAGTAGTTGGGAGAAGCAGGAGCGACCTGCTCTAAAACCATGTTGCCCTGGGTTGTGTAACTGATGGGTATCTAGGTAGTTGGCGATCTTGCTTCTTAGAACCCTTTCAAAGAAATTTATGATGTAGGACGTCGTGCTATCGGTCTGTAATTTTTTGCAATTACTTTAGTGCCACCTATGTGGGGTGGGGCTATGTCCGTTGTTTTTAGTGACTGGGATGACCCCGTGTCCATGCTCCCTCTCCATAGAATATTTAAGGCACGAGAAAGGCCTTTTTTTTTTTTTTTTGAAGCTCTTTATGAACAAGGAATTCCACGAGTCTGGGCCTGAGACAGAGTGCATGGGCATGCCATTTATTGCTTTTTCAGAGTCCTGTGGTGTTAGGATTATATCAAAAATTCTTGAATTAACCAAAATTTGAGTCTCGGTCATAAAAATCATTTAGACTGTCTTTTTAACGGCTCACTAAATGCAGAGTCGTATTAGGACTTCAGTATTTCACTCATTTCTTTGCTGTCATCTGTGTAAGTAGCATCTTGTTTAAGCAGGGGCACCATTACTGGGTGTGCTTTTTGACCTAGATTTGGCATAAAAAAAATCCTGTTTCATTTAAGTTCTTTCTGCGTTTCTTGGCTCCTGTATGATTCTTTAAGCTTAAGTTCGACATTTTCAATTTCTCTGGCCGATGCCACCTTCCATATTTCAGACAGACTGGCCTCTTTGAGCAGCTCTATGATTTTTGCCTTCGCTTATAGAGGAAGCGTCTCTAGTTTACATCTTCTCTTCTTTTTTCTTAGGAGAATGTGCCTTGAGCATACTTCAAAAACCACAGAGTTAATTATTTCTATGCAAAGCTATGAATCCTAGTTTCATTTAGGACGTGGTTAATTTGATCCCACTGTTTGTTATTGAAGTTGAATTTGGTGAAGGCACCCTCATAACTGATCTCATTTCGCTGGTCAGGAGCCCTACTCATACACATCTGTACTTCGATTATGTTGTGATCCGAGTATATTGCTTTTGATGCTGTTCTATTTCGTACTAGATCATCGTTATTTGTGAAGACAAGGTCAGGTGTATTTTTCAGTTTTTTTGGCTCCACTATTTGTGGGCTTAAGGTGAATGTGTTGTACAGATTTAATAGCTCATGTATGTGAAATTACACTCGAGGTGCCTCCTGGGGTTATCTCTGCTAAGACATTATTTACCACATTCCTTCATTTTAGGTGCCTGAAGTTGAAATTGTCCCGCAAAGCGATATTTGGGGGTCGGATTGGAAGATTTTCAAGACAGTAGTTAGTTATCAAAACTGTTCCTTGAATTGTTGGAAAGTTGTATCTGGTGACTTGTATACAACCACAATGACAAGTCTTTGATTTTCAGTCTTTACTGCCTAAACTTCAACCACATCATTTGTTTCTCATGGCGAAACATAATCTAATAAAATTTTACGCAGAGCGAAACATGACTTGATAAAACTCCACGCAGAGCGAAAAGTGGCTTCATACTGGTGAGGGGCTTTGGATGCAAGAGTTTTGGAGATACCTGATTACCTCCCAAACCCCTAAGGGTTTAGCGGTCCTCCACGAATGCAATGAAAATAAAATATATGGGATTATTATTTTTATATTTAAGGTGAAGCGCTAAGCCAGTAAGAGCCACACCGCGCTCGGGGAATGAAAGACATGGTGGGTAGTCAGACCTGATCCAAGAAATAGGAGGGTGGCTCCAATTCCTTACCTACCTGGAGTCTAATCGGACGGTGTTCCGGGGGTCGACGCCCCCGCGGCCCGGTCCTCCTTGAGCTGCACCAGTGCCTTTAGAGCACTGCCTTGCCACCCCCGTCCACAGCATGTATGGCAGGGGTGCGAGATGGCATTATCAGGGGGTGCGACGAAGAGTCCTAATGATTAGCACACACATTACCGTTTATTTTACCAAGAACTTTTCTAATTGCTCAATTCATATTTGCATTTTATGCAATGAATTAAAAGCTATTTTTGAGTTCGATTTGTTCACCCGCAGTAATGTATTCGGTTCCTTAGGGGCGCAGGGCATAGAAGACGTTGAGAACCCTTTATGTATAGGGTGCGTTATACGAGGGTGTCCCTTAACTCTGAAACTATAGGGAAAAGTAAGCAAAAAGTGGCAATAATAAAAGTTTTTTTTTGTGCCATGATTGTGTTCAGTGCGTCCGCTATTATTAGTTATTATTGATGCACCCATGCGCAATAGGTATCCTGCCAACAGATAATCCCTGACTATTTTCAGTCCCGTCAATAGATGATCCCTGCTGTCTCCAAAGGGGAATTGGGTTATTAGTTCAAGTCAGTTTCTGATCAGCCGGGCTGTATGGTTCGCATGTTGCACTGCGTGCGTCCAGCAGTTACAAGTCTGGTTAGTCAGGTTTTGATCCACCAAGAAGGTCTGGTTTTGGGAACGGCCCGCGGAGGCTCGCTGACCCCCCCCCCCTCCAGAAAACATCCTCGAGGTATCCCTTCAGCAACGCCAGACGGTATAAGGCTTGACGGTCTTCCACGCCTTATAACGATAATCTCCAGCAGGCGATTCCAGCCTTGTGGGATAGTGTAGCTTACTGAATCACCCCTATTAACAAGGAGAAACTGTAGTGTATTTTACCTCTGCGCCCCGTGGCATGGTGGCTAAAGCTCTCGCTTCACACGGCGAGAGTCTGGGTTCAATTCCCAGCACGGGTAGAAACATTGGGCGTGTTACTTTACACCGGTTGTCTATGTTCACCCATCAGTAAAATGGGTACCTGGGAGTTAGTCGACTGATGTGGGTAGCATCCTGGGACAAAAACTGACCTAATTTGCCCGAAATGCTCAGCATAACAAGTGGCTTTCTATATAGTAGTATGTCATTGATGTCAGTTAGGACTATATACCTTGTACATGTGCTTGTAGTAAATAGATATTACGTTATATTATATTATCTGTTCAGCCCATCGACCATCACACTAGGCTACATATAATAGCGAGTCGCTGGGGTGTAAAAACAAGGGACGGAGTCTGCCAATTTCGAACACCAGCTTTAAAACAAGGACGAAGAAGAAGTTATTTGGATTTAATGGAGAAAATAACAAAAAGAACTTTGTGGACTCACATCTTGAGTGACATGTCCTGACACTACGGTGTTTTGATGATGTGAAGGAAACAAATGACGTATGGGGGCTCCACACACATGCTCGTGCAGAAAAACTGATCTGGAAAATATTTAAAAGTAACGATAATATTTCCGGAAATGAGTGAGCCGACTTATCATGATAAAATGAGGAAGTAAGTGAATTAAGTTACCACAAACTTACCATGATGGTGTCCAGTGGCCTGGTGGCCAAACTCTCTCTTCACACGCTGAGAGATGTCTGGGTTCGATTCCCGGCAAGGGTGAAAACATTGGGAGTGTTTCCTTACACTGGTTGTCCCTGTTTCCCATCAGTAAAAAATGGGTAGGCGACTGGTGTGGGTCGCATCCCGGGACAAAATTGACCTAATTTACCCGAAATGCTCTGCATAAGAAAGGTTTTTCTATATAGCAGTATGTCACTAATGTCGGCTAGGACTTGTAGAAATAAAGATATATTATTATTATAGACTTAGGAAATAAGTGAGCTAACTCACCATGGCAGGCTGACTCAGCTGATCTCAGAGACACAATGTGTAAAGCTGCCGAACAAGATAAATATACAATACACCGATATACATGAATGCATCATTCATATTAGCCCCATTAATTCCGTACCTGCTCCATTCTTAACAGACCTGGCAGACCAGTAATATTGTTCCATACCTAACTCGCTAGAGTCAAAGTGCGTAGCGGCAACCCATGTGTGTGTGAGGTAGACTTGAGTGCCAGGATAACGGGGCGTCAGTTGTGTGGCGAGTGTGTGGGGCAGAGCAACACTCGTATATAGGTCTGTGAGGACGCAGGAGACATTGCCAGGAAACTATCATCATAGACCCTTCAACCTGATCACTATGACGGAGACTCAGCACGCAGGTACAGTGGTGATGTTGATGCTCAGGACTCTGGGATGTGACCGGGTGTTACTGGAAGAGGAAAGGAGATATTACGAGTTCATAAAGTCCTCACCTCTGGAGGTGGCATAGCTAAATTTACTCTCTGCTGTTTATGCTATTCAAGTAATGCGAGGTTTCAAATGGGCTGTCAACGTAATATACGCGGATGTTACCAGCACTGTGTCCTGAGGGACTTTACGTGTCACATGACATGTTTAACTTTGCAGCTACAGCCCCGTCAGGTTCTACAAACTACTGCAGTGTAGACGTCTCTGCAGGACATACAAAATTTCACCGTCAGCCAAATTGTACATTAACTTGTGATTGAATGGTGGTTCCTCGACAGGTTCTTGTAAGATATAAACAGATTTATTACATGTAACTTCTCCAATATCTCCCGACGAGTTTCTGGGTAGTATAAGGAGTTAATTTCAAGGAAGGAGGGGGTGTTATTGATGCTGATGTATGGCTCTTGATTCAGGGAATTGGAGCTAACCTCCCTTTCTTTGGATCAAATCTGAGAACCTCGCATTTCCTAGCTGTTGTATAGCCTTTATGAAGGAAGACCTTGCGTGTCCCGCTGCTAGCACTGAGTGTCCCTCAGGCGATGGTCACTCTTGTCTTTGCACGAGCAGGGAAGTGTGCGCCTGTGTTTGTGCAATTACAAACAAATAAAAACTTTCTTAGTGCAGTATACAAAACGTAGTTTACATGTAATAAAATTAAGGACAAAAGAAGGTCTCTAGCATGCATGTGTGCTTCGTATGTGTGTACGTGTTTGTGTACGTGTGTTTTGAGTACGTGTTTGTGTATGCGTGTTTGTGTATGCGTGTTTGTGTACGTGCGTGTTGGCATGAGCGAACGTAATGAGAAGTCAATGTCCTCAAGCTGCCGTCCACCGCGAAGCTTAAGTGTATTTAAAAGCGATGAGACTGACGTAAATCACGTCTTTGAAGACGTATCTTAGATTCAAGGCTTGGAATAGTGATGCCAAAAAACGATGTATTTAATATCAAAGCTATCAACGGCAGTCACTATAATACAGGAGTTCAGGGGTCGATCAGTCATCCAGCGCCTGGAAAATACATAAGAACATACGAACATAAGAAAGGAGATAAGATAAGATAAGATAAGATTTCGTTCGGATTTTTAACCCCGGAGGGTTAGCCACCCAGGATAACCCAAGAAAGTCAGTGCGTCATCGAGGACTGTCTAACTTATTTCCATTGGGGTCCTTAATCTTGTCCCCCAGGATGCGACCCACACCAGTCGACTAACACCCAGGTACCTATTTGCTGCTAGGTGAACAGGACAACAGGTGTAAGGAAACGTGTCGAAATGTTTCCACCCGCCGGGAATCGAACCCGGGCCCTCCGTGTGTGAAGCGGGAGCTTTAGCCACCAGGCCACCGGGCCTGCAGCAGGCCTGTTGGCCCATACTAGGCAGGCCCTTTACAATCCTTCCCACTAACAAAATATTTACCCAACCCAATTATCAATGCTACCCAAGAAATAAGATTTGATCAAGTTTGATTCGAGGAAGGGGAGGGGTCGTTAGCTTACGGAGCGACACCTTTCTCCAGGCTGAGGGACGGACCACCTCAGAAGAATGTCTTCAAGGATGAAGGACTGATTACGTCATCTTTACTGCTTCTGCTACCTCCTCTGTACTCCACTGAAGAAGCCTATTGTGTAGGCGAAACGTTTCGGAATAAACTTACCTAACAGTTGTATGTATACCATTATCATATTCATGTCCAGGACTCAAGTCCAGTTAACCCTTTCGCTTCGGTCGAACAATTTCACACAAGCCTGCTGGATACTCAAGACCCTAAAATTCAAAACCTCTTGTATTCCCATCCCTCCAACTATTCGTAGGACGACCCCTCCTCCTACCTTCCATCCCAGCTTTATATATCCTCGTCAACATGTTCATCCTTCCTACATGTCGATACTACCTCAACTAGTACTGGCTGGGTGTAGTGGTAACTAGTACTGGCAGGATGTAGTGGTGACACTAGCACTGGCTGGGTTTTGTGGTAACACTAGTACTGGCTGAGTTTTGTGGTAACACTAGTACTGGCTGAGTTTTGTGGTAACACTAGTACTGTCTGGGTTTTGTGGTAACACTAGTACTGTCTGGGTTTTGTGGTAACACTAGTACTGTCTGGGTTTTGTGGTAACACTAGTACTGTCTGGGTTTTGTGGTAACACTAGTACTGGCTGAGTTTTGTGGTAACACTAGTACTGTCTGGGTTTTGTGGTAACACTAGTACTGTCTGGATGTAGTGGTAACACTGGTACATAAGAAAGAACACTGCAACAGGCCTACTGGCCCATGCGAGGCAGGTCCAATTCACTCACAGGCTTAAGCCAATGCCTTAGAGGTAGTTAGGCCAGGCCCCACTCACTAAGGAAGGAGCACGGCAACTGACCTACTAGCACAAGCTGGTAACACTAGTACTGGTTGGGTTTTGTGGTAACACTAGTACTGTCTGGGTGTAGTGGTAACACTAGTACTGGCTAGGTTTTGTGGTAGCACTAGTACTGTCTGGGTGTTGTGGTAACGCTTGTACTGTCTGGGTGTTTACCTGGAGTTTACCTGGAGAGAGTTCCGGGGGTCAACGCCCCCGCGGCCCGGTCTGTGACCAGGCCTCATAGTGGATCAGAGCCTGATCAACCAGGCTGGTACTGCTGGCTGCACGCAATCCGACGTACGAGCCACAGCCTGGCTGGTCAGGTACCGACTTTAGGTGCTTGTCCAGTACCTACTTGAAGACAGCCAGGGGTCTATTGGTAATCCCCCTTATGTATGTTGGGAGGCAGTTGAACAGTCTCGGGCCCCTGACACTTATTGTATTGTCTCTTAACGTGCTAGTGACACCCCTGCTTTTCATTGGGGGGATGTTGCCGAGCCTTTTGCTTTCGTTGTGAGTGATTTTCGTGTGCAAGTTCGGTACTAGTCCCTCTAGGATTTTCCAGGTGTATATAATCATGTGTGTCTCCCGCCTGCGTTCCAGGGAGTACAGGTTCAGGAACTTTAAGCGCTCCCAGTAATTGAGGTGTTTTATCTCCGTTCTGCGCGCCGTGAAGGTTCTCTGTACACTTTCTAGGTCAGCAATTTCACCTGCCTTGAAAGGTGCTGTTAGTGTGCAGCAATATTCCAGCCTAGATAGAACAAGCGACCTGAAGAGTGTCATCATGGGCTTGGCATCCCTAGTTTTGAAGGTTCTCATTATCCATCCTGTCATTTTTCTAGCAGATGCGATTGATACAATGTTAGGGTCCTTGAAGAAGAGATCCTCCGACATGATCACTCCCAGGTCTTTGACGTTGGTGTTTCGCTCTATTTTGTGGCCGGAATTTGTTTTGTACTCTGATGAAGTTTTAATTTCCTCAGTAGTGGTAACACTGGTACTGTCTGGGTGTTGTGGTAACACTAGTACTTCTGGGTGTAGTGGTAACACTAGTGCTGTCTGGGTGTAGTGGTAACACTAGTGCTGGCTGGTTGTAGTGGTAACACTCGTACTTGCTGGTTGTAGTGGTAACACTCGTACTGGCTGGTTGTAGTGGTAACACTCGTACTGGCTGGTTGTAGTGGTAACACTCGTACTGGCTGGTTGTAGTGGTAACACTTGTACTGGCTGGTTGTAGTGGTAACACTCGTACTGGCTAGTTGTAGTGGTAACACTCGTACTGGCTGGTTGTAGTGGTAACACTCGTACTGGCTGGTTGTTGTGGTAACACTCGTACTGGCTGGTTGTTGTGGTAACACTCGTACTGGCTGGTTGTTGTGGTAACACTCGTACTGGCTGGTTGTAGTGGTAACACTCGTACTGGCTGGTTGTGTGGTAACACTCGTACTGGCTGGTTGTTGTGGTAACACTCGTACTGGCTGGTTGTTGTGGTAACACTCGTACTGGCTGGTTGTTGTGGTAACACTAGTACTGTCTGGATGTTGAGGTGACACTCGTACTGGCTGGTTGTTGTGGTAACACTCGTACTGGCTGGTTGTTGTGGTAACACTCGTACTGGCTGGTTGTTGTGGTAACACTAGTACTGTCTGGTTGTTGTGGTAACACTAGTACTGTCTGGATGTTGAGGTGACACCATCTGTTTATCTAACACAGATGTGTCAAGCTAAGTGATAACTCGGCAGTCTCGAGTAGGACCAGAGGACCTGCTCTGCCCGGTGACCCGAGAGTCCTGTCACGTCCAGGACAATCTCTCTACAACTCACTACGTCAATCTCTTAACGCATTCTTCAAATCTCTCTATGACACAGCGATGAAGGATTGGAATGGGGAACTTGATCGTATCAAGGCCAGTCTCGATATAAAAGAATTGACGAAGAACGAGTGATTAACCACAGAAGCCGCAGGCGCGTCGGAGGGTGATGGTTTATCGTTCAGATATTCGTAATTTGAACTGCATCATGACCCCTTTGACCTGGTCTCGGACCAGACCTGCTTTCGCGTTATATTTGTATTTTTTTTTAAATTACGCATGGCAGTCATTAAATCCATTTTTGCTGGTGCATGGCACTGCTGGTGGCCCTGTGGTGGTGTTGCAGAAATGTGGCACTGTTGATGGCTCTGTGGTGGTGGGAATGGCTTTGTGCCAAGCTGCCTGCTGGCCTCTCATGTGATGTTTTCAAGCAGTGGTTCCCCTACCCTCGTGCCTTCCCCTCCCTACCGACATGCTCTCCCCTCCCTACCTCCCCTCCTACCCACATTCCCTCGCTACTCACCTGTCCTCCCCTCCCTATCCTCTGCGCTTTCACTTTTATACCCACTTACAATAACGAGGGGTCACTTGTACGAGGGGTTTCTAGGACAAGGGGACACCAGGGCGAAGGAACACCAGGACGAGGGGTCACCAGGATGAGGGGACGCTAGTACGAGAAGTCAGCAGGATGAGGGGACACCAGGACGAGGGGTCACTAGTACGAGAGGTCACCAGGATGAGGGGACACTAGTAC